CCATGAATGTCTGAAGATCTACTCGTAACTGGCTATTAGTAGATTCAATATTGAAATCAGACAAAAAAAGAACAGCATCATCAGCATACATTAAAATATTTGAATACTTCAATATTTTTGGAAGGTCATTTATGTATAATAGGAAAAGCAATGGGCCCAGATGAGTGCGCACCGCCCCTCCCTGCCCCCGCCGTCGGCAGGAGCWCACGTTAAACAACCGATTGACTCTTTTAAAGTGGAGACAAAATGAAAAGAGTCCAACTGAAAATGTTCAGAACACAGAACAGACCCAACAGTAGGCTATCAGGAGTCTTACCTGCGTCAACACACACTTCAGACGAAGCTCCGAATCGAAACTTAAAAAATAACACCATCCTTATGGGTGTTTGAACAAAATCCTGCGATAGGCTACGACGTGATGGCATTGTTGTTTTTTAAAACCGTCAAAACTCCGAAAACTTCAAGAAATATCCATCTATCCGTACATTTTCTTCCATTATAATCCTACTAGTTAGCTGAGGGGACGTCCTCCCGATGACGTCACTTTCGTTTTCTTCTCAGACACTAGAGGCACTACAGTTCTCCTAAATTTGCCTTGTTTTTTGAAAACAAGGATGTTATACAGGCGCAGACATTTTGGTTTATAAAAAATGGCAGAAAAGGTCCACATCGTGTCATCAGCTCTTTAAGCTTGTATTTGACTCACATCCAGGAGTTGATGAGGCCCGGCCAAGAGATCCCTTTGGCTTATGGACGAACTTCTCTCCCGGAGGGAAACAGCTAACAGAAGTGTGTCCGTCTCCTTTCGATTCTGACTGTCACTCTGACTGTCAGGCAGAAACTGTGTTAGTGATTAAAAGAGGGTTTTCTTAGTTCCGCCTTCAGAGRTTAGATTAGAAAACAGGAAGATAAGGAAAATGTTAACTCAGAGACTTGCCATTGCCTCCTGAAGCTAAACAAAGATTATTGCTTCTGTGTAGTTCAGAAACAAAACGTATGATTTGTTTAGTTCTTATTTGATGAGAACTCTTTAAAAACATAACTGAAAGAACAAATTACTCCGAACTCAGAACATTTGCAAATATGATTCAAACAAATAAAACATTGACGTTTCATCAACTTAAACCCTAAAATTTAGTTTAGTTAAATAAGATTTTTGCACAGAAAATTGATACATAGATCTGTTCTCTTTCCTCCAAACTTTGATAGCATTCTCTAATTATCAAAATGCGTAATAATTTTCAGTTAAGAGAACAATAAATCAAATAAAAAGAAGATTATTCTGTTTATTATCTGATTAAGAAAAAGAGAATGTCTCTTTAAAGATTAAGGCGACCTGAGGTGGCCTAAATTGAGTTCCAACTTGAACAGAGTTTCTGTGGCCCATCAGAGGTCTGAGGTCCAAAACAGTTTCCTTGGTTATTTCACTCGAGGAGACCTGAACAAATTACAATCAGGTATTTTACTGTGGTTCTGAGCCAAGCCTTGCAGCTGAATGAGAGACTTCATGATTCTAATTCTAAAATAAAATCACTCATTTTTTTACATTTACTATTTAATAAATATTTTTCTAAGTTCTACCAAACTCAT